CTCTTTTGAACATTTAACCTTTAATTTCCCTCATCCATATTTCAAAGCAAGAAAACCTCTTCTTTTTGTAACTTTGTATCGTCCACCAGGTCCTTACTCTGAATTTTTAGATGAGTTTTCAGAGTTCCTTTCTGATTTGGTATTAAATACTGGAAGGGTCATCATAATGGGAGATTTTAACATCCATACTGACATTGAAGGCGATAGCTTAAGAGCAGCCTTTAATGCTATCTTAGACACTATTGGCTTTGTTCAAAATGTGAATAGTCCCACACATTCTCATCTTCATACTTTGGATCTTGTGCTGACATACGGCATAGAATGTGAAGAAATAACAGTATTACCTCACAACCCTGTCAGTATTAAATAGAAATATTAATGAGAGAAACCGAAGGGAAGAAATAATAATGATCAGATTAAGAGTAGGTCATACTTATTTAAATGACAATTTATACTTAATAGGGAGGAAAAATAATGATAAATGTGAAGGATGTGGAGAGATAGAAAATGTAGAACACCTATTAATGAGAAAGAGTTGAAAGGACAGGCCAAGAATGGAGTCTTAAAGGATTATTGGGAAATAAAGGAAATATAAAAGATATTTATAGATTAAGGAAAGCATTATTTATTTATCTTCAGAATACAAAATTAAAAAATAGAATTTAATAGATGTAAAACAATGTTGCTACACACTCATGAACAGTAGGTGGCGGTATGCACGCCCCTTCCCTAGAGCCCGGTGGGATCGAAAACATTTTGAATGGAAATCAGTGGGGAGAAATTAATAAACTTCTGGTCCCAGTCGCTCTCTGTCACTGATTCCTGATATGCTGGTTGTGTATTTAAATTGTTTTTTTTTTTTTTTTTGAGTTCCTCTTTGGTCAAAATCTGGTCAAAACCCATCAATGAGATCGCACCAAACAGGAAGTTAAATGCACAAAGGATCCGGTAAATTTCCAAATAAAACACATCCGATCTTAACCCATAATCCTTTTTTTAACATTAGTTTCTCCCGTATGCCACGACGTAATGCATTGATCTGAAAATCAGCCTCAGACGCAACGCACGCAGTGGCGAGGGTTTGATCCGTCAGATGGAGTTAAATCACAAAGAATTGAATGTTGAATCGGGGCGGCAGCTAAATTCTAGGCGATGGGTAGCAGCCAAAACGTTGCAATTTCACATAATCCTGACGAGATCCGAAAAACCGTAGCAAAAACTAGCAAGCGGGTGATTATGTATGTTCACTAAGTAAATATTATGTAAATAAACCCTACACTTCTCGCTATAAATGTAATCAAAACCCATTTAAATGCAGAAACTGATTGAAATAATTGATTTTCCCACTAAAAGTTAGAGAAATCTCAGCCATGTTTATACCAAAACGTTACAGTTTCACATTATCTTGAAAAATCTTTGCAAGAAACGAACAAGCAAGTGAATATGTACATTCCCTGAGTAAATATTCTGACAACAAACTATACATTTCTCACTAGAAATGTAATCAAAACTCATTTTAATGCAAAAACAAACTCAAGTTATTAATCTTTCCACAAAAAAATGACCGAATGTCGGCCATATATATATTTTTTTTCTTCTCCCAGCTGGAATCTTGAAAGTCACGTGACTAGGACGTAAAACAATAGAAAGCGTATAGGCAGAAGAAATGTCACAGTGCCACAAAAAAATGGCCATTAATGTACCTCCACTACATTTTGCAGTGTGGACCAACGTAGTGGAGGTACATTTTCCCATGAGACTGGGTTGAAGGACCTGGTGGACAAAACAAAGTTACAAAAAGAAGAGGTTTTCTTGCTTTGAAATTTGTATCGGGTAAATTAATGGTTAAATGTTCAAAAGAGTTGTAAGTATTAACTGTCTAATAAGTAACTGAGACTGAAAGATTGTTGCTACTCCTCCTCCTCGCCCAGAACTTCTGGATATGTGAAAATTTAAATAGCTTGAAGGAGTTGCCTCATTTATGCTCACATAATCCTCTTGCTGCAGCCAGCTTTCTGTAAGGCAACATAAGTCAATGTGATTATCACAAATCAAGTCATTAACTAGCAGACTTATATTAAACAGACCACATTTAATCGTTCTAACTTTTTCTCCTATTGGAATTATTTTAATTGGATTATCAGGATTTACTCCTTTGGTAATATTTGCTAATTTATCAGATTTTGGATGTTGGAAAGACACTGTCTGGATGGGGAAAAGAGTGGGTAACAGTAGAGAAGCTGCAGAGATGTGTGTTAAACTACAACTCTGCTTCCTGGTCTGCACCCTGGGTGGTCAGGGTTTTGGAGGACTAATAAATGTGGCCAGATTCCTAGAAAGAAGAGCTGCACCATCCAAAGTGGGATGGATGCCGTCTCTCCGAATCAGACCAGGCTTTCCCCAAAAGGATTGCCAATTATTAATGTAGCCCACGTTGTTTTCAGGACACCACCTAGACAACCAGAGGTTGAATGACGACATGCGGCTAAACATGTCATCACTGGTCAGATCAGGGAGGGGACCAGAGAAAATTATTAATCCGACATTGTTTTGGCAAACTTACACACCGAAGCAACACTAATTTTAGTGACCTCCGATCAGCATAACGGGGTGTCATTACCACCAGCGTGAATAACAATCTTACTGTGTTTAACCTTATCCTTAGCCAGTAGTTTCAGGTAGGATTTGATGTCGCCCGTTCTGGCCCCCGGCAAACATTTGACTATGGTCCCTGGTGTCTCTAATGCCACGTTTCTGACTATGGAGCTGCCAATCACCAGAGTGGGCTTCTCAGTGGGTGTGTCACTGAGTGGGGAAAATCTGTTAGAAACGTGAACGGATTGGTGGTGACCAGTGGGCAGAGATCCATGACTATGCTTTCTGCGTACAGTTACCCAATCGCCTGGCTGCTCAGGCACTTTTGGAGGACAGCTACATGGGGGGCCTACTTTAACTCCTGAATGTTCAACAGCCTGAAGCCAAACTAAGATGATTCAAATCAATCTGATCATTTTGGTCCAACTAAAACCAAAAGACTCCCAAGTTAGTCTTATCGTTCGACCAAAATGTATGCCCAGCTTTACCTAGATGCTGCCATTTGTGGTTTCTATAACTACATCCAAAAAATTAAAACTTCCAAGTTATGCTTTTTCAAAGTCACTTCCATATGGAACCCGGCTGATTCGGGTGTTACTCTCTGGCCTGATGCAGCGTTTTTCCTAAGGTGACTTCATCCGAGAGCCAAACTGTGCCCCTCCAGATTTCTCGCCTTGATGCGGATGGGCCTGATGAGCTTCTTTGCCCTGTTCAGGCACTGAAGGCATATGTCAGACTCAGCTTCTCTCCCGCAGTCGGATAGTCTGTTTGTTTGCTACGCGGGGCCCCTTCAGGGGCAGGCCCTTTCTAAACAGCGCATTGCGTGTTGAATTGTGGATGTGGTGGAACGTGCGTACATTCGGCAGGGCTGCAAACCCCCCTCTGGTTTAGGGTGTCGTTCCACCAGGGAAGTTAGTGTGTCATGGGCCGCTATGATGACTGGTGTCACTCTGGAGGCTATTTGCTCAGCAGCCTTTTTGTCATCCCCGAATACCTTTGCTAGGTTTTACAGGGTTAACTTGGCCGCCTTTCACCCACTGCAAAGGACCCTCTCCCCAGTGAGGTCGGCATGTTTCGGGTTGTTTGTTTCTGTATGTGATTCCTCAGGACTCTGTTGGTAATCATCATCCGTGCTTTAAGCACCGCCTCTGGTGGTCAGTAGGGATGACATAGAACAAAAGTTACGACTATAACTACGGTTCTATGAATCCCGGATGACCGTGAATCATTGTGTTTTCTCGAGAAGATTAAGGGACTGAGCTGTCGTTGTCACATTATTATATAGGCTCACCGGCGTCACCGGGGGTCACACGTGACTATGTTGGTATAAGATTCTTGACCTGTGCATGCGAGAGTGATCATTCATGCTTTAAAATCCACCTCTGGCAGTCACCGGGATTCATAGAACCATATTTGCAAGATCCATCTTAAACTGTACTATTATTTTCAACCATGCTTCCCCTTCTTCTTTGTACATAGTTAAGTTTGGTTTAGTTGAGTTTTACCAGACTTAATTGAGAGTGTTAAACTAAAATATGCTTGACTTGGAGCTGAATGACTTTTGTTAATAAACTGTTATATTTTGAAAAGAAGTTGTGATTTTATTCCATGTATGTGCAGAATTAACTGTTTGACCATGATTAGAGCTCGAATCAGTCTTTCATTTATTGTTCTAACACACAGCTAGTAGGGCTGTGTGTCATAAACAGTATATAACAGCCAAAATAATATCTTGATTAAATAAGATATTTTACCACCCCTGCCTGAGAGAGCAATAAACATCTTAAAGTATCAGAAAATAAATTCCCAGCTGGCTGGGAATAGAATTGAACATAAAATAACAAAATTCTTGCTGGGCCCATTGAATGGAACGGCACCTTCCTTCCAAGCTAGATGAACATTTATGAAGCAACATTGGGTCATATAGTTTGCTCAAAACCATTTTATTTTACTTTAAAAAAAAAAACTGAAGGGAACCAAAACTGAAATAAATTAAAAACTACAAAGATTTATAAGAGAAAATGAAAAGAGATTTTAATCTAAAAAATTCCATCCATCTTCTTCTTCTTATCCATTCGGGTCTCAGTGGGGATGGTTTCTACCTCCAGCAGTCTATGGGGGAAAGGTGGGCTACACCCTGAACCATTCATCTAAAATATCATCTGTAGAGTAGTTTAAACAAGCTTTGATGATAAAAGTGGAGGTCCAAGCCTTTCTAGACGATGGCGCAGCATTGCCTGGTCCTTTCTAACCTGTGATGTGATGTCAGAGCTGCAGTGAATGCTGGGAAATGTAGTTCTACTCTGGTTATATGCACCTTGATCAATACATGGATGGTTAAAGTGAAGTGTCCTTTCTTTAACCTTTAATTCAAAGTCTTTCTCCTGTGTTTATTTTTCCAGACCGCCTGCAGGATTATGTTGGAAAAGAAGAGGTTTTCGCTGAGCAGCACTTCTCTGAACAGGAGAGGAATTCCAGTTTGGACCAAGCAGAACCAGAACCTCTGCAGATAAAAGAAGAGCAGCAAAAGCCAGAACATTCCTGGATAAAAGAGGAAACCATGGCGCTCCCTATAAGTGAGCACGAAGAGCAGCTTGTTGAGCCTGGAGATAAAGAAAGGAACCATTTCCCATGTTTGAGATGTGGAAAAAGGTTTCTAAAGAAGCAATATTTAATGGTTCACATGAGAATTCACACAGGTCGGGAGATTTACAAATGTTGGTCTTGTGGAAAAAGGTTTACCAGAAAACAGTATCTTGCTAAACACATCAGAATTCACACAGGTGAGAAACCTTTCGAATGTTTGTCCTGTGGAAAAAGCTTTACCAGAAAAGACCATCTTGATAAACACATCAGAATTCACACAGGTGAGAAACCTTTCAAATGTTTGTCCTGTGGAAAAAGCTTTACCAGAAAAGACCATCTTGATCAACATGTCAGAATTCACACAGGTGAGAAACATTTCGAATGTTTGTTATGCGGAAAAAGCTTTACCAGAAAATACCATCTTGATCAACATGTCAGAATTCATACGGGTGAGAAGCCTTTTAAATGTGAGTCCTGTGGAAAAAGCTTTACCGAAAAAGGCTCTCTTTATAATCACATCAGAATTCACACAGGTGAGAAGCCTTTTAAATGTGCGTCCTGTGGAAAAACCTTTACCGAAAAAGGCTCTCTTTATAATCACATCAGAATTCACACAGGTGAGAAGCCTTTTAAATGTGCGTCCTGTGGAAAAAGCTTTAGACATAAAGTTTCTCTTGATAATCACATCAGAATTCACACAGGTGAGAAGCCATTCTCCTGTACTCTTTGTGGCAAAAGTCTTGCTAGCAAACCTAAACTGGCTTCTCACATGATAATTCACACAGGTGAGAAGCCTTTTAAATGTGTTTCTTGTGGAAAAAGCTATACCGACAAAGGCTATCTTGATAAACACATCAGAATTCATACAGGTGAGAAGCCTTTTAAATGTGACTCCTGTGGAAAAAGCTTTACCGAAAAAAGAGCTCTTTATCAACACATCAGAATTCACACGGGTGAGAGGCCTTTTAAATATGCGTCCTGCGGAAAAAGCTATACCCAAAAAAGAGCTCTTTATCAACACATCAAAATTCACACGGGTGAGAAGCCTTTTAAATGTGAGTCCTGTGGAAAAATATTTACAAAAAAAGACACTCTTGATAGACACATCAGAATTCACACGGGTGAGAAGCCTTTTAAATGTGACTCCTGTGGAAAAAGCTTTACCGAAAAAAGCACTCTTAATAAACACATCAGAATTCATACAGGTGAGAAGCCATTCTCTTGTACTCTTTGTGGTAAATGTTTTACCACAAAGAGTAACGTCACTTCTCACATTAGAATTCACAGCAGGTGAGAAGCCTTTCTCTTGTACTAGGTGTGGCAAAAGTTTAAACTGAAATGATAATTTGACTTCTCACAAATCAACTCATGTGAGAAATGTTTTCCATCCATGATGCTGATCTAAAAACAAAGATTTATTGATTCCCATAAGAAGGCTCAGCAGTTAGACGCCACAGATATGGACAGGAGAGACCTTTTCCAGGTTTTACCCGTGATAGAAAGCCATAAAACACTTAAACATTGTTTGTTTGAAGAACTGAACAAGGTTTAAATTTGTTTCTGTTATTTAGTTCAAAGGTGATGTTATTGCTGATCAATTTGAATCTGCTAGAACTTGGTAAAAAGACTTTTGGGTTAATAATGTATTACATAAATCTTACACTAGTGTAAAAGTGTAAAGCTTCTGATTTTTTTTTCTTTTATTTAATCAAGTTTTTATTTTATATTTTACAAATTTTAAACCGAACTGACTGCAAAAATATGTCTCTATGGATATTCACTTGTATGGATATTCAGTTGAAAATCATATTTTCTTTTATGTTTCTGCTTTTTAAAGATCTTTCAAAGTAAAATGTTAATTGATTTTTTTCCAATTGTTTTGTTTCTGATTCAGTAGATGTTTTAAAAACCTTCTGTAATATAGAGAAACTATTTTGTTTTATGTTTTATAGAACTAGATTTTATTGCATTGTTTTCTGCACTGGATGTTTTCCATAAATGTATTCACTTCTAGATTGATGAACCAAGCAGAAATAAAAACATGGATTGTAAAAATTGCTTCTTTATATGATTTCATGAAAGTCATTAACAACTTTTTTTCATTTTTTCTCTATTTTTAGACAACCTAAATCTGTAATATGACTGTTTAATGGTATAAAAAAAATGCTCCAATAGACCACAGTTTGTGAGACTGGAGGATCAGCTGTCTAAGCAGGTGGTCATCTGCACCTCAGGGGACACTACTATCACCATTCCTTTTTTCTCTGTCCACCTCTGACCCTTGGTAAGACAGACCTCCAGGCCTACCAGGGTAAAGCACATGGTTGACATTTTATATTTTTCTTTGATTCTCCTCTCACTCTTAGGCTCTGTTTGAATTTATGGGCTGCATCCTCAGAAGGCCAGATTTGAAGGCCGATTACGTCATAGCGCGGTGCTGAGGTCTGGTCAGATTCCAAGACTCCTCGTAATGCAGCCTACAAATGCATCCTTCTTTTAGGGCGATTTGATGGATGGCTATAAAAGAGCAATCTTGCCATAATTAAAAATAAATATAGAAATAAATGCTCCAAAAATAAATAAGCATACAATTAATTGCCCCCCAAAAATACAATAAACGAATAAATGTAGGTAGAAATGAAATAATACAGTGAGAAAAAAATATACATATCTCTCTTAATTAGCTTCTTTGTTCATTTGCTTTATTTACCTTATTTATTTATTGTCCGTTATATTCTTAAACTTTATTACTTACTTTTTTAAGTATTTATGTGCATGTTATATTTTTGTCTGGTTTATTCTTCCTCTGTATTTTTTTACCCTCTTTATTTCTCCCATGCTATTTATTTCTGCCTGTCGTTTTTATATGTCTGTCTGCATTTCTGCCTCATTATGCAAATGAGGAGGGGGCGTGTCTTAAGGAGTCAACTTCTCCCCATTAGTTGGTTAGCAGCAGCCGGCCACAGTCACGACAATGGCTGCAGGGCCGCTGATTGGACCGGGCATTCGAATCAAGCCATCCGCTCTGGGGCTGGTCCGGGTCCGGAGCCAGCCGGGACGGAGCGACTGAACCAGAACCAGTATTTTTGTTGTTGAATATACCGTATTTTCACGACTATAAGGCGCACTTAAACGTCTTTTTTTTCCCTCAAAATGTGCGGTGCGCCCTTTGGTGCGGTGCGCCCTATGTGTGTTGTAACTGCGACTTTTGAGACCACCTCATTGAGGAGATGATGAAAGAGTGGCTGAATGTAAGGAGACCAGGTGTTTTTTTTCCACTCATCACCATCGCTGTTAATATGTAACTCCATGCGTGCCCATCTCACAGCTGATGTGAAAAACATGGTGAAACAAATTAACGCTGTGCTTGCTGTTCAACCGCTCGACATCGGTGTGAACCGGACCCAGCAGGTGCAGCAGAAGCAGCGAGTTTACATGCAAAGTCAATGGTTGACGCGCGTATAGGTGCAGCAAAAGGTCCCGCAGCGCGTTTTGAGCAGCAGGCGCAGTGCTTCGGGAGCGTTTAAGCATCTGACGCACCGCCAACGCGCTGCTGCTGCTCGAGATGGAAAAATTGAAGTTTTGCTGCTGGACGCGCCGCATCAACCAATCAGAGAAGCTGATCTGGGAGCTGACAGCGAGACAGACACAGCGCTCTGATGACATATTAAGGCAAATGAAAAGGGCTGGATGGATGAGGAGATGATGAAAGCGTGGCTGAGGCAGGTGTATGTGAGGAGACCAGGTGGTTTTTTCCACGCATCACCATCTCACAGCTGATGTGAAAAAAAGGTGAATCAAATGAACGCTGTGCTCGCCGTTATCCCGGGGGTCTGACAAAGGAACTTCAACCGCTCGACATCGGTGTGAAGCGGCCGTTCAAAGTAAGGCTGCGAGCGGCGTGGGAGCGATGGATGACCGACGGAGACCAAAGTTTCACAAAAAGTGGAAGGCAGCGCCGGGCAAGTTACGCCACCGTTTGCGGATGGATTGTAGATTCTTGGGCTAACGTGTCTGCTGGCTCTGTTGTTCAAGCTTTCGCAAAAGCCGGCATTATTTCTGAGGAGCCGCCCGGCACGGAAAGTGACTCTGACAGCGAAGAAGGGGAAATTGGCATGTCTGATTTAGCGCAGCTGTTTAATTCAGATACAGAGGATGATGACTTTGATGGGTTTGATTAATACTTTGTAATAAATACTTGAATAAAGCACAAACATACTCAGTTTTGCTCCCGCTCTATTTTATTACCTGAAAACCTAATTCAACAGCAGCCTCTGGGCCGGGTCTCCTCCGCGTATACCGCGGTGGCTGGCAGGTGTTTTTTCATCTAAATAATCTGAATCTTGCAGCTATATTTGCTGTGATCTGTGGGAATAAAGTAGTTTTAATATGTTTTTAAGTGAGAAAGTCCACCTGAAAACTTAATAATTGCAGTCAGTTCATCTAGATTATCTATTTCTGTCTGAGGCGCTCAGACCCCGACATACCAGCGGTGCACCGACAGTAGAAATCCCTTCATCAGCAGCCTCTGGGCCTGGTCGCCTCGGGTTCACGCGGTGGCTGGCAGGTGTTTTTCATCTAAATAATTTAAACTGCAGGCACCAGGATACCGGTAATAAAAGCGAACATATTCCATCGGCAGGTTTCAGGATTTTAAGTTAATTTAGGAGTGATCACAGCGCTGTGTCATCTGCGATGTGTCTGTCTCACGGCCAGCACGTAGGTTTGATTAATACTTTGTAATAAATACATGAATAAAGCACAATCATACTCAGTTTTGCCCCCGCTGTATTTTTAAATACGCAGTAGAGGTATTTAAAGGTAGTAGAGGACATGTACCTGTATATAAAAAACGCCCCCTATAGTCCGGTGCGCCTTATGTGTGTGTTAAATACAGAAATGGGACACATAACTGAGAGTGCGCCTTTTAGTACGGTGCGCCTTATGGTCGTGAAAATACGGTAATATATTTTTATACATAAATTGTTTAAATTTATTTATATTTTTCTACCCCTTTTACAGATAGATCATTTCTTTATTATCCCACAATGGGGAAATTCTGGTGTCTAAAGTGCCTTAAGATGACATGTGTTGTGAATTTGGCGCTATATAAATAAACTGAATTGAAATTATTGGAGCAAAAAAAAATTGACAATCATCACACAAATGTGAACCTTGAAAAATGTATAAGAATAACAATAGTGTAGAGTTAAAATATAAAAAATGGAATTCTGTACTGTAAAGTGTTTTAACAATATAATACTATGCATGTGGAGAATAAATAACCAATATGCAGCTATGGACATTTTTACAGTGATGGATATTTGAAAATAGCAGCAACATCAGAGATGTGCAAAATGACAGCAGCATGTTATTTAACTGACTAAGGTTTCTATCATTACATTTGATTTGATTTGTTCCTGCTCCTGGTGGTTGGAACCTTTATTCCACTCTGGATTCTCATGAGTGAAGTCTTTGTTCACTTTAAAATAAAAAAAATTAAAAAAAGAAACAGTTTTGAAAGTTTGGGATTCACTCTTTTCCTGCTTTGTGTGTCAACTATCGGGTTCCTGAGTGTCCGCTGAATGGTAGACCTGTTTGAATCCACAGCCAAAACTCTTCTGGTCTCCTTATTTTAAGGTACTTCTAAGGATCTAGTTCAGGTAGAACGGGTCCTTAGAAGATGCAGCCCATGAATTCAAACAGAGCCTTAGTCAGAGTTTGGAAGTGGAGTTCTCAGAACTCTCATACCTCCATGGCTCTGGTTAATGTACACTGAACACATTAGGGGTAAATGGCCTGTACTTATATAGTGCATTTTCAACTCAGGTGATTTGACCAAAGCGCTTTACACAAGAAATGTTAAAATCTAATCAGAGATAAATAAAATGTCTTAGTTCCTTTCTTTAGTTTTTATTTGTCACACTATTAGTGAGAGATTATCTGATTTGTATTCAGCTAAAATATGTTTAACCCCCTGGGTTCCCAGGAAACTACTTGGGATCTCCATCAAACCTGGGCGGATTAGCCAGCTAACACTCAGAATGGGGGGGGGACGCTTGGTTAGCATGCTGTGGGGCTAGATCACCGGCTGGGCCCGAAGCCTGGAGAGAGACACGGACAGCCGCGGTTAAATTGGTCACTCGGCTGTTAAGATCAGACAGTTTGTTGCCGAGATGGAAGAAATGGTTGTGATTTTTCTGGATCTCAGTTTGTTGAAGGCGAAGGGCTCTCTGAATGGCTTCTGCTGGGTCAACGGTTTGGCCAGAGTGTTCTGTCATGATTTACTAAAGACCCAAATGCAGAAGACTAAACAGGGAGACCAGAGGAAAAGGTTTAACAGGTTTTATTGAAGAGATAATGCAGAGAGAAGTGTTGCTCTGAACACTGCTCAACCGGAACTGAAAAGTGAGGGGAAGGCACAGCGATTAGTTCAGGTTAAGTGGGAAAATAGATTTACCTGAAGAAGGAAGTTCAAAACTTCAGGATGAGTGTTTATTTATTTTGTGCTGTGTCATCACCTAGCTGTGCCAGCTAAGCACCGAGAAAGACGGCTGATGACAACAAGGCTGATTTCTCTCATGATGTGGTGAAAGCGGTTAAACAAAATTTCTATGTGGATGACTGCTTAATCAGTTTTGGTTCAGAGAAAAAAGCCAAACAGGTGATAAAAGATATAAGCATTCTCTGTGAGAAAGGAGGCTTTACTCTGGAAAAGTGGATCAGTAACAATCGAGAGGTTTTGCTAAGTATTCCAGAAGATCGGTTGGCAAAGGATCTAAAAGAGCTCAACCTAGATCGGGACAAACTTCCTGGTGTGTGGAATTGGATGATTTCAAGTTCAAGATTGAAGTAAAACAGCAATGTCTCACTAGACGTAGTATGCTGTCAGTGACCAGCTCTGTGTATGATCCTTTGGGAATTCTTGCAACTGTCACTCTCTATGCCAAGATGTTGCAACAGGAACTCTGCAAAAGAAAATGTGGTTGGGATGAGGCTTTACCTCCAGATATTTTGAAAAAATGGAATTCATGGACTCAAGAGCTTGTACTCTT